AGCTTGCTATCACAAAAAATGTGTTACTGATTTAACGAGTTGTTTTAAATTCCATTCCATGTCCCTATAACCCTCAACTGCAAGGAATTATAAATAATCTATTAAGCTGAGCTAGTTCTGAACCAAACCTTTTGTTTGGGTTAAGTTATATCTGTATTTTCCTTCAAGTTTACATTATCGTTAGATATTTATATATAATGGGAAAAGAATGTCTGCACCTTGTAACAGTATGTTATCACCAAACCTCCTGTGGAGGCAGAGCTATGCAGCAAAATATTTTCTCTTGTGGGGGGCCAAAATATTTTTTTTATGACTTGAATTTAGGGATGGAGCAAAACCAGGGTATCATCTCAGTTTATTTATATGTATATATAAAGATGAATACAAGTATATCTCAAAGAGGAAGGCTACAACCTATGTTATTTATCTTAAAATTATGTACACAAAAAAAAAAAAGAAAAAAATTTCTGTGTGAGAGCATATCTTGGTTGGTCTATTTGAGGGAGGCTACTTTTTGGGTTGCGTCAAAGATATCTTGGCCTTCTTCCAAAAATAAGAGTGCATGTCTTGAAGGATTTGAGTATCTCTTAGACATTGGGTTCAGCTAATTTGCCATAAAACAACAGTTGGTAGTCGAGAGTTATTTTTCCAGTTGAGTTTTGTAGTTGCAATAATAGGAGTACCAGAAAATGATAACAAAATCAACAGAGACCATCTCAAAGATATGTACACTGTAATGGCGTCAAAACGAACATCCATATTAAAAAAACGTGTGATCAAACGTATTTAATTCCAAGTAAGTTGGAACAGAGAACCAAGGTTGGGGGAACGGGTTCAAAGAACGTCGGTGATTTGGCCCCTCACACACTAGGTTGGAGCACCCAAAGATTCTTTGTCAAGACCAAATCTAGTGCTTGTTTGGGAGGGTTTGCAGTCGCTTGTCAAGACCGAATCTTGTGTTGTATGTTGCTTGGTAGACAGCTGCCAGACGGTTGAGTGACTGTATTTCACTAGAAAATTATCAAAAGAGTAGGATAGACCTATCACCTTGAATTTAGAGATGGCCAAAAGTACCGCCTCAGCTGATGTATATGTGTATATAAAGATGAGTACAAGTATATCTCGGAGAAAGGCTACAACCTATGTTCCTTAACTTAAAGCTAGGTACATCCAAAATCAGCTTTTATAAAATCTGTACAACAAAATAATATCACCTATTTCAACATTTAAGTATAAAATTAAAACAAGTTAAAAAAAAATTGAGGGTGACCATGATAACTCATGGTCAACCCCGGATCTGCCCCTAACCAACCAGGTGCTGGTTTTATGCTTCCACTATTGTGTTTAATATGGTATGTATATTCTGAAATTGAGTGCATTTGATTTTCGGTTAAAAGAAAGTTTCACACAAGTAATAATGTTATGCAGACCAAGTAATTTAGGTCTAAATTTGTAAATCTTTAACCACAGATGGCAAGATGGATAGCAAACATAGTAGTAAAAGTGTGAATGTGGGAGAGGCCGGTGTTGTATTGTGCCAATTGTCCATCACTCCACCAATTTACATATATTGATGCTACGGAGCAGAGTTATGATAAAGATATAATAGTTTTGTTTGTTCATTATTATTAATTTTAACTGCTTAAGTTTAGGTTTGAATTTGCTACTCTAAGTATCTGTACCGAAACAAGCAATGTTTTTATATTTTACTTGAATTCCAGCTTGGTATGATAATGTTAGGATCTAGGATGTTAGGATAGATTGGGTTGAGGACTGAGCGGTTAAGGGTGTGAGGGTGTCGGTTGTAAAGGGGGAGCGGGTCAGAGTTGCTATAAATAGAGCTCTTGTAACTCTGTAGAGGGCATTGAGTATTCTTTTGTAAAGTCTAGACTTTTACCAGAAGAGGGAGGTTATGCTCCCAATCAGGGAGGTTATGCTCCCAACCATTCTTTGTAAAGAGATTTCTATCGTTGTCAATAATAGAACCCATTCTTTCTTTACTGTTTCTACCTACTGTTAGTGTTCATAGTTAGGTTTCCAATCCAGGTACCTAACAATTGGTCTAACCTGCCATTTCGAGAAGTGGCCGGATCATCGAGAGCGCTGCCACATCAACAGGAGAACTTGCGGTTATCCTTAGGAGAAGGGTGCCGAATCAAGAAGGGATCAAGACGTTATCAAGAAACTGTCGGATCCAATTAAAGGTGAAGCAAGACGGTGGGCAAGCTACCGCTTTGGAGAATAGAATCGAAGGGAGGATAAGCGTGATGAAAGGAAGAGACAATACCTTGGAGAGGAGGACCAGCAAAAGGAGCATGGTAGAATGGAAAAGAAATATGCAAGAAAGGAAGAGACAATACCTTGGAGAGGAGGACCAGCGAAAGGAGCATGGTAGAACGGAAAAGAAATATGCAAGAAATACGGCAAGAAACGGCCGCGATGTGTTAAGACTTACAAAAAATCATGCAAATACTAGGTGGACGAAACAAGAACTAGGATGGACACTTAGATGGGAGCCAAGCGTCCGTTGATGAGGACAGGAGGGACAGGCGAGAAGAAAACAATGGCAGAAGAAAAGTTGAACATCATGAGGGTCAATACAGTGGGAGGAAGCAAGGGGAATTACCTGTCTTCGAGGGACTCGACCCATTGAATTGGATCAATCGCGCTGAGAAGTTCTTCAAACTGCAAGGGGTGACGGAGGAAGAAAAGGTGTGTCTGGCGCACATTAGTATGGTGGGAAGTGCAGACTACTGGTTCAGAGCCTGGAAGGAGAAAGCAAAGAATCGTTCTTGGGAAGGTCTGAAGGGGGTAGTGGTGGTGCGATTTGGAGAACGGAATGGGGTACCATCTTTGAAAGGGTGGCGGCCAGTAATCAGTCGGGAACCGCGCAAGAATATGTCTCAGCATCGAACGTGAGAGAATTGCTAGAACCGAATGGGCTAGGACTACAGGAGGCGAACCTGAGAGGACTGCAGGAACCGAATGGCAGAGGACAGTTGGATCCGAACGTGAGAGGACGACCGGAACCGAATGTGACAAAACTGTCGGAACCGAACGCTCGAGGACTACTGGATTAGAATGTGAAAGGACGGCCGGAACCTAACGGGAGAGGACTGCCCGAGCTGAACATAAGAGGACAACCGGAACCGAATGTGCTAGGACTACAGGATGCGAACCGGAGAGGACTGTAGGAACCCAACGAGAGAGGACTGCCAGAACCGAATGAGAGAGGACTGCATGAGCCGAACGTGACAGGACGGCCGCAACCGAACGGGCTAGGACTACAGGCTGCGAACCCGATAGGACTGCAGGAATCGAACGGTCGAGGACTGCTAGAACCAAACGGGAGAGGACGTCGGGATCCGCATGTGAGAGGATTGTCGGACTCGAATGGAAGAGGACGTCATGAACCGAACGATTTAGGAGGGATGGATCAGTGGGAGAGAAGCGTGATGGAAGAAGGAATGAAGGCTTCGGAGGGAAGAGTGGATGGAAGAATCAATGCTCGGGAGAGAAAAATGGATTCTGTGAGGAGGTGGGCCAGCAAACAGAATAGGGGACTTGCAGTTTTTAATACACCGGCAAAGGGGAGAGAGCGGCTTAAAGCAACGAAAGATATCAAAGACCATTCTCTCAAGGCCTGCAATTCTGGAAAAAAGGTGACCAAAATGCTGGAAGCTAATAGAACCCATGAAGAAGGGAAGTTATTGGAGGAGGAATTGCCACCACCCAAGCCTCCTGACCTGAATTGGAGGGCAGTAGCCAGTGGGTTCACTTCATATGATAACAAGATGATGAAGAGAAGCTAAGAGACCAAGCTTTTCGGTTCCAACCTTGAGGGCAAGGTTGTTCTACAGGGGTGTAATGTTAGGATCTAGGATGTTAGGATAGATTGGGTTGAGGATTGAGCGGTTAAGGGTGTGAGGGTGTCAGTTGTAAAGGGGGAGTGGGTCAGAGCTGCTATAAATAGAGCTCTTGTAACTCTGTAGAGGGCATTGAGTATTCTTTTGTAAAGTCTGGACTTTTACCAGAAGAGGGAGGTTATGCTCCCAACCAGGGAGGTTATGCTCCCAACCAGGGAGGTTATGCTCCCAACCATTCTTTGTAAAGAGATTTCTATCGCTGTCAATAATAGAACCCATTCTTTCTTTACTGTTTCTACCTACTGTTAGTGTTCATAGGTTTCCAACCCAGGTACCTAACAGATAATCTTGAGTGGGTTAAAAAATTTTAGAGATTTTTCTGTGATTTGTATTTTGAACCGGGAGCATTGGAATATTGGATCATGTTCTCGCCGTGGTCAATATCATTGCTGGATTTTAAATGAGAAATTATTTTATTTATCGTAGCATTACTATTATTATGCTTGTGCATGTGTGCATGAGAGGTAACAACTGTACGTGGTTCTGAACAAATGCTTTGTTCTTGATATCTTTTAGTATGTATCATTAAATCATGAGAATTGTTATTGACAGGCAAATACTCCCGATGAGTTGCCCGAGAGGCTTATTGGAGCTGTTCGTATTTCTCACTTAGAGCTTAAATCTGCCATCGTCCCAAAACTGGAACAGGATGTATCATGACTAACTCAGTCGTTTCTGTTCTATACAAAATCATTTGTTAGCAATATGCAAGTGTACCATTTTTTTTCTCTGGGATGTAGGCTCATTGTTTTATAATTGGGTTCTTCTGTGAAACATTAAAAGGAAATTCTTCTTTTCTTTTTCCTTTTTGCTTTTTTTAGTTCATTTTAAGTTTTTAAGCTGTTAGGATCTGTATTTTGTCAAAGTATTCATATTCGGATATATTTCATCTGATTATGAAATATTGTTATATAGTTTCAAACAATTTTTTGTAACTCCCAGTAAGTCGAAGGAAGAAAAAGGTTCAGTTCAGTCATTCATCTCGTCATGGAATTTGCTTGTGTAATAATGTACATAGTTTCTCCTGCATATAGTTTATTTTCCATGACAACTTCCTCTCCACTAAAGATTGTATCTACTTCTTGTAGAAATGTAGTTTCTTTCACATTCCCGGGTTCTATACCTAAAATAAGGAGGGGATTTCATGAAGTGTGTAATTCTGAAGGTTCTCTTCCCTAAGATTATGTTGTTTTATCTGGATTAAGAATAATATAGATATAGAAAAAAGAGAAATACTGATAGATGTTTTATTTGGATGGATACAAAGTAGAAAGGACAGCACGGGAATCTCATCCTCTATGATTGAAAGAGTGAATAAAGAGAGTAAATAAATTACTATTATACCAAAAAAATTAATAATATATATATATATATATATATATAATATATTAGTATATATATTATATATATATATATCATATATATTGTGATCTTTTATGTTATCACTTCAACGTAAAAAGCTTTTTTTTAATTGTGGGAAAAATTTATTCATCCTTTTAAGAAATCAACAAATTCTTTTATAGGAGTTTTTTTTTCTTTTTTCTTTTGAAGAACAATTACTTTCTAGAAAATCTATTTTAATCATGATATATGATATATCTGGAATAGAGTTTTATTTTTATCAGGTTTGTCAAATTAATTTTCCTTAATCTATATTAGTTCAATTTTTTTTAATATTTTTATATCTATTTATTTCAGTATTTATTATCTACACAGTTTCTGTTCAAAGACAACATTTATTTCTGAATAGACTTCTGTTTTTCGTTATTTGAATGTCACAGTTGTCAGTCCTCCAATTCGGTCACCCAGCCATCATTGATGAGGATTTAGTGTAGTTCCTGTAGTTTTGTAGCTTTTAGCTACCACTGTTGATCCCGTCACTCATCCATCATTAATTGGGAATCAGCCCTTGCAGATTGTCATTATCTACCATTGCTTTCCTTCATCCACTTTTGAAGTTGAAGTTTTACAAGCTGTTGTTAGTCCATCTATGTTTGCCTCGCACTCTTGAAGGCAAATCATCTAGTTCAACACTGAGTTCATTTATTTCAAGCTTAGTTCATACAATTTGTATGCTCTAGCTTGAGGGGAGTGTTAGATATATTATATCTTTTATCTTTTAGTTAGTTTGTTATTATTTCTCATTTGTATTTTAAGCTTAACCCATATTTCTTCTATTATAAATAGAGAACCCTATGTGTGTATTTTACACAAATCCAAATATAGTTTTTCACTATATTTCACAATTTCTGAATAGACTTCTGTTAGTTTTTCGTTATTTGAATGTCATAGTGTCAGTTCCTCCAATTCGTTCCGGCAAATCCTAGGCACCAAAATGAACATACACATCGACCCTTCAATGCTTCATATGGTCCATGAAATCCCACAAACCCATGCTGAAACTTGGCGCCTAGAATGTCAGCATTTCTCTTCATGTCTTATCTCATCAACTTCTTTATTACCATATCAATATGTTTTTTCTCCTTACATATCAATCACTGACCATGTTAACCACCTTAAGATGGACACCACCAACTTGACATCAGGAATTGGTCACCCCTTATGGGTCACACCAAGAATGGAACCGTGGCTCTTTCTTCTTACAATCCCATAATTTTTAAATCCGACGATATTCTGATATAACTTTTTGACACAGTTTAACTGGATTTTTTAAAATCAATTTTTGAATTTTTTTAAAGTTTGGTTTTGTTGTCCATCACTGAAATTTTAAATTGTATGTGAAAGTATTTTTTTGTCTGAAAAAAGTTTATGTTAATGTGGATATATGATTTTTTTTTGTTGAAAAATCATGAAAATGTTTTTATAGAAGATTTTTGTCGACTCTATATTTTGTTTAGACATTTGAGTTTTTTTGTTCAAAATCGAAATGAACAAATTTGTCCCATACTTTTATGTGTCTTTCATTGCTTCACTTCAATGATCTAAACTCATCCTTACTCCAGTTAACATCATCCTTTTATTGGACCACTTCTTTTTTATCAATATGCAAAACATTACTAATAATGTAACTGACTCTCACTAAAAAATTATGCACCACTCTCACCCAATTATACTTTCTCAAACTATCAATATTGTTTAATACTCTACAAAGCATATTACTTATATTTCTTGAATTTTTAGAAAAACAATGTATAGCAAATCAAATCAATATATACAGACATATATTATTTACATCATCCTTCCCTTACCTGTATACGTTTCCCTCATTTTTTAATAATATATTTCATGGTGTCTTGCTTTGGGCCACTGAAAAGTGAACCCATAACACCGTATAAATTTTCATCAAATTCTAACTCAAATCCACCTACACCTTACCCCAAACATATAAATTTTCATCAAATTCTAATTCAAGTCCACCTACACCTTACTCCAAGGCATATAATATGTCTACAATGTTAAGGACACCAAGTGTTGCATCACACGAAACGATTGGTTCACAAATACCCAGTGGTGAACATCTCCAATAGAAGACCACAAATCTATAAAGATCTTTCCATGTATATACACCATTTGAAAGGTGTGTCTCCAATCCTTGAACGATGTATTTCTCTAAAGATACATTCATTTCAACAATGCATTTTTGTATCAACATTCCGAAGTTTTAAACTTATAATAAATAAAAAATAGCATACCATTACTTGTTCAATTATAAAAATTATTTATGCCAAATATATGCACCTTTTCAAATCAAACATCATTATTTATCTTATGTTTTGTATATGCTATGTTACCACCCATAGCCTCTACATTGAGTTAAAAACAATCAACCAAAATTAACCACACAGTTAAATAAGAACATCATTTGAAAAAACAACTTCCGCATACCATGTTTATTGTAAAAAAACTTAAAGCACGAAACCACTTTAAACTACAAGTACTCAGCACTTGATCCTGTTTGAAACTTTGTTCAACTACAATACATCAAAATCACATTTACAAACCGAAAATCAACACATTCACGTATCATTCACAAATAAACCATTAAAATCATCATCAAATATATTCCAATCTCAATCCTAAACCACTAAAAAAAAAATCAAACTCTTTAATTTAACTTAACTATAACAAAAACTATAACTATTTTATCACCAACCCCGTTAGGCATCCTAGGCAAAAGCAGCGTGCTGTCCCATGATCTTGAAGCCATTCAGAAGCCTGAATCTGGTCTACTAGCGACAACCTTCACATCCTCTTGTCCCTGAATGGACAAGGCACTGGACCCCTTTAAAGCTTCCTCTAATCGCAAGAGCCCCAGACCACGACATCCTAGGACAGTAGTCACTGTACCAGCTTTTTTGCCGGATGTTGTGTTTATTACTTCTGAGCCTGGAATGACTTTGCTTTCTAACTCTGGAATAGCCGAAAAGGAATGGCTAAGAGTACATCATTATAATATATATAACGCCAAAGAAGCCATGTACTCGTTGTAGGATACCTTTCCTTCCCATTGTTTTGTCCAGAAACCTTAGAGGAACTATCCGCTTCCGAATCACCCCCCTGTGATGTGTACGAGCAATGAGTTCTTGGCCAACATAGCAACCTTTATCAAAGCTAATTGCAATTAAGTGGTTGGTTGTGATCCTTAAGTGGTTGGTTGTGAAGACTGGATGAGCTTCCTTATATAAATCATACCATCAATTTACTTTTCTAACATCAATCCTACAATTATTTTTCAGCAAGAACAACAAGACTTTATATCAATATCATAATAGCAACCAACAAGCATTTTATGCAATTTTTCAGCAAAACTTTTTGGGCAGCAAACAGCATAGTTTTAATTGCAATAATAGCATCCAGAACAGCCCAAACAGCAAGGTATTAGGTGCAACAACAGCATAGGTTTTATGTCTATTTAACAGCAAAGACAGCAAAGGTTTTTTATGCCGATTTTTACAAACAGCAAAGAACACCAAAGGTTTTATGCAGATTTTACAACAAAGACAACAAATTGTTTTTTGGTGCATCATTTATGTAGTCTATACGCACATACAACAATATATAACAAAATTTATAGGCAGCTAACAGAAGTCCTTCGTGAACAAAGCAAACAATCTTGATTCTTTATAATTTTAACCAAACCTACGTGAAGCATAGCATCTCCACTCCCTAACTTATACAAACTCAATTCTAGAATAAAGACAATTCATTCACCACTTTTAAATTTTCTCGTCCCAATTATTTTCTTCTTATGATTTTAAATATATTAAAATAAACCACACATCAACCAATCAAATATCAACATTCCTTACTCTTTCAGTATGTTATGTCCGATACTGCCTTTTTTTCCCTTCTCCCCACTCTGCGATGCAACGCGATCCTCCTCAAGATATCGACTCTACTACTTTGCACCGATCGGTCGTTCCCCTGCAGAAATCTCCGACGCTCACGTCATTCTTTGTTCAAAAAATCTCAACGCTGTAATTATTTAGATCAAAAGTACCTTTACCTGGACACCTATCATATATTTATAAACTTGATTCCTAATGACAACCGTTACCTGCTAATTAATACCATATTCATTTCATATATTTTATTTCTTATTGTTCGTTGACCATTAACGCTCATGTTTCGTTTTTCACTGTATTGATTGACCTTTAATGTTCTTTATTCGTCTATTATTCGCCTCCTCCCACTCTCAGTTTTAACCGATCGGCTAATCTCCTTATCTAACCATTCGGCCAACCTCCTTCTCGGACTGAGCCTCTTTCGGTGCCCACCGAGTAATCTACATAAGCCCCCCAAGCCCCGAGCGAGAGTAAACGCGAAAGGGGTTGTATGATTCCGGTGCCCTTTGAATCGTAATGACTGTTGGTTAATTGGACATATCATTCCTGTTGGAGCTGAAAGGTTGCGCCCTTCCATCTGAACACTACCATTTCACACGAAGAGTCACGTCTTTCCACCGTTAGATCTCCTAGCCATGAAGGGTGTTGATCTACTCTTGAAACCGCTTTTGCTGGCTATAAATAGGGATAGGGTCCACCTCATTTTCGTTGCTTTCCTTCTTCCTTTCCCGCTCTGAATCTCACTATCAAAAAGGTGATTATGTCTTTCTCCACCTGGTCTACCGATGAGCCTGCTGGCGAAGGTCGCGGGTATGCTGACGACGAAGAAGAGTCATCACCGTCAATGGGGTCCTCAATCCTAAGGTCAGAAGGTGACAGTGGTCGTCCCGAGCACCCTTCCGATGAAATCATACTTAATGTTGATAACTCTCTTGAATGGTCAGAAATCAACCCACCCTCCCCAGTAAAGGGGTACCAGTGGGCTCCCCATGAGGTTTGCTGTTATTCCCCCTACTTCACCACTAGTCAATCCATAACGTTATAAGTTGAACGAGTAGATTTATTAGCCGATCTAAAGGATGCGAAATGCATTTCTTTAGTAGTATGCCGACCGAACGAGCGGGCTTGTCACGGTCGTGAAAGTTACGGTTTAGATTTCTTCTATGCCTATGCTACCTTATTCCGCGATTTGGGGGTTCGCCTTCCCTTTTCTGAGTTTCAGATGGGTGTTTTGCGGGAACTCAACGTTTGTCCTACCCAGCTTCATCCCAATGGGTGGGGCTTTATGCAAGCCTTCTGCATCCTATGTACCGCTCTGGTCTTAACCCCTACCCCATATTCTTTCCTCTACTTCTTTCGCGCTTTTCCTCATCCAAGCAAATCTTGAATATCCCTAACCCCTGTAAAGGATAGGCAGTTATTTACCTTGTTTAACACTTCGTACAAAGATTTCAAAACTATCTTTTTCAAAGTTGTCATAAGAGATTCCGACCGGTCAAAGTTTTATTTCGACGACGGCCAACCGAAGTTCCCATTTTACTGGACCAAAAATCCTAGGAAAGTGGTCTCTTGGGCCAAAACTGACATGACTCCCGAAGAGATAGATATTATCGGCCAAATCGACTAGTTACCCCGCAGGACCTCGTCTCGCAAGCTCATCGGCCTACTGGGGTCTGACACTCTACGTGCTAGAGTGTTCGGTAAGTTGTCTTTTACTTCCTATTTGTTGATCAATCACTATTGACTCATCTAAATTTGTCTTATCATTTCATATATATATGAGGCAGGAGTCATTTTTATGACTTCCTGCGTTAAGCGGGGATTTCTGAAGCCATTTTTCTGACTTCCTCCCGAGCGTCTTGAGACAGGAGTCATTTTCCTGACTTCCTGCGTTCAGCTGGGATTTCTGAAGTCATTTTTCTGACTTTCCCCTCTAGTGTTTTGAGGCAGGAGTCATTTTTCTGACTTCCTGTGTTGAGCGGGGATTTCTGAAGCCATTTTTCTGACTTCCCCCGAGCGTCTTGCGGCAGGAGTCATTTTCCTGACTTCCTGCGTTGAGCGGGGATTTCTGAAGTCATTTTTCTGACTTTCCCCTCGAGCGGTTTGAGGCAGGAGTCATTTTCCTGACTTCCTGCGTTGAGCGGGGATTTCTGAAGTCATTTTTCTGACTTTCCCCCGAGCGTCTTGAGGCAGGAGTCATTTTCCTGACTTCCTGCGTTGAGCGGGGATTTCTAAAGTCATTTTTCTGACTTCCCCCCGAGCGTCTTGAGGCAGGAGTCATTTCCTGACTTCTTGCGTTGAGCGGGGATTTCTGAAGTCATTTTTCTGACTTCCCCCCTAGCTTTGCCTGCCAACCTTTCACCAAACGAGAGAGAAAAAAACGGATATTATTCATTATTTCAATCTTGCAACAATCATTCAACTAAAATAATATTTCAAGTGAGAGTCGTTCCATGTATTAGGTATGATATTCCCGGTCGGGTCCTTCCCAATTAGCTGCTAGCTTTTCGTGCACCACCTTTTTCCGAGCATCAGACTTTTTGAGCCATACCAAGTCGCCTTCAACAAAATGTCTTGGTCGCTCCTTTGTGTTATACCTGCGCGCCACTAACCTTTTCTAAGCTTCAGTCCGCACGACAACCACATCTCTTCTTTCTTGCACTACATCTAAGTTGGTCCTTAGTTGCTCTTCATTCAAAGTCATATCTCCCAACTGTCTTCTTACAGTCGGCTCTCCTATGTCCACGGGCAACATTGCATCTGTCCTATATGTGAGATTAAAAGGCGACTCTCCTGTAGTACCGTGCGGGGAACAATGATAACCCCACAATACCTGCGGTAGTTCATCCACCCAAGCCCCCTTCGCTTGCCCAACCCGCTTCTTCAACTCCTGGACAATGATTTTGTTTGCTGCTTCAGCTTGCCTGTTCGCTTGAGGATGCTCCACCGAGCTCGTGACAGGAGTAATCCCCAAGTTTTTATAGAAAGCCACGAGTTTCTTGTCCACGAACTATCTACCGTTATCAGTGACAATCGTTTTTGGTAAGCCAAAACGACATATCAGCCTCCAGACGAACTTTTGAACCTGAGCAGCTGAGATACTTGCCAAAGGTTCGGCTTCCACCCACTTTGTGAAGTAATCCACTGATACCAACAAGAATTTCTTTTGTGCCCGACCGATGGGGAAAGGTCCCACAATATCCATTCTCCACTGGGCAAACGGCCAAGGGGAAACGACACCATGCAACTCTGTTGCCGGGGCATTAAAAACATTCCCATGTTTCTGGCAACTTACACACTTTTGCGCGAAATCACCACAATCTTTTTCCATCGTCGGCCAAAAGAAACCTGCCCTCAATGTTCGAGCTTTAAGCACTCGACCGCCCGTATGTCTGCCACAAATCCCTTCATGCAACTCCCTCATAACATACTTTGCCTCTTCTTTGGACAAGCATTTCATCATCGGCGTAGTATAACCTCTTCTGTACAAATCTTCACCCACCATAATGTATCTAGCAATTTTCTTCCTCTCCTTCATTGGGAGGGTTACCCCACCGTCTTGCTCCTTCATCAGCTGAATCACTTCCTTTCTCCAATCATTTTGCCCGACGGTGTTACACACAAGAAGACAATCAATGGTTGGTTTCATTAACACTTGTCTAATAACAGAAGACAATTGCCCCTTCTCCTTTTTCCCGGCCAGCTTGGACAACCTATCTGCCCGAACATTTTCCTCCCGAGGAATATGTTTCAACTCCACCGCTTTAAACTGAGCTTCCAGCTGCTTAGCCTTGTGAAAGTATTGTAACAATTGATCATCCTTGACCTCAAAATTGCCCTTCATATGCCCCTCCACCAATTGAGAATCCGTCCTGCATTCCAGGAATTCAACTCCTAAATCACGTGCCAACTCCATGCCTGCCAACAAAGCCTCATATTCCGCCTGATTATTATTGACTTTGAACTTAAAAAGTAATGACTGCTCGACAAGTATCTCGTGCGGTCCCTCGAGGACAACTCCGGTTCCCCCCCTTTTTTATTAGACGACCCATCAACATAAAGCCTCCAACGTCCCACTCTCCCTTCTTCTGTAGGTAACTCAGCAAAATCAGCCAAATGTTGACCTCGTACCGACCCGCATGGCTCGTAACGCAAACCAAACTCCGAAAGCTCGACTGACCATCCCACCACTCTATCGGCCAAGTCGGGCTTTCGCAAGATTTTGGCTACAGGATGATCTGTTCTACCCACCACTTGATGCCCTTGAAAATACGGTCTAAGTCTCCGAGTGGCATTAAGCAAGGCTAAGGCTACCCTCTCCACCTACTGATAACGAGTCTTAGCATCCTTGAGACTCCTGCTTACGAAATAAACTAATTTAAACTGCGGGGTTTCTTGCACCAAGGCAACACTAACTGCCTTATCCATTGTCGCTAGGAAAAGCTGCAACTCATGTCCTGGCTCCGGTCTTCCCATGACAGGCGGTTCAGTAAGAATTTCCTTCACCTCTTTGAAGGCCTTCTCACACTGATCACTCCAACTTCCCTGGGAATTTTTCTTCATCACCCTCAGTATAGGGCGTATACGCTCGGCTAGCTTGGGAATAAATCTGGATAAGGAGGCTAGGCGCCCTACTAGCCTTTGCACTTCTTTGATATTTTATGGGCTCCTCATCTCCAGCACCGCCTTACACTTATTAGGATTAGCCTCAATTCCCCGTGCCGTCAACATGAATCCCAGAAACTTTCCTGCTGGTACACCAAACGTGCACTTTGTCGAATTCAGCTGCATTTCAAACCGGCGCACTTGCTCAAATACCTCCTCCAAATCTTTCACATGCTCCTCCACCGTCCGGCTTCGTACAACCATATCATCTACGTATACCTCCATACACCTCCCGATCTGTTGCTGGAACACCTTGTCCATAAGCCGCTGGTACGTGGCCCCTACGTTCTTCAAACTAAAGGCCATCACATCATAACAATAATTAGATCGTTCAGTTATAAATGTTGTCTTCTGACGATCCGGATGATACATGGGAATTTGGTTATATCCCGAATACGCATCTAAGAAACTAAGCACTTGATACCCCGAAGCTCCATCAACCAGACCATCAATGCTGGGAAGCGGGTATGCATCCTTTGGGCATGCTTTGTTCAAATCTGTGAAATCAATGCACATTCTCCACTTTCCGTTGGATTTCTTCACCATCACCACATTGGCCAGCCAAGTTGTGTACTTTACCCCATGAATAAAACCTGCCTCCATTATCTTTCGAACCTCCTCGTCCACCGCTCTTCTTTTTTCTAATCCCAACCTCCTATTCTTCTGGAGAACCGGCCGTGCATTCGCAAACAAGGATAGCTTGTGAGAAATTACACTAGGATAAATCCCTGGCATGTCAGCTGCCGTCCACGCGAATAGATCTTTATTCACCATCAAAACTTGGCCAACCTCTCGACTCTGTTCCTCCGTAAGGCTTCTACTAATGGTAGTACTCTGATCCCCCGCTGTCCCCAGAAAGAAAGGTTGCACCTCCCCCAACGGTTCCATCCGATCTTCCATATTCACCCTCGGGTCCAGCTCCGCCATAGTCACTTCTGACCTTTCTACCTTCTTAGTTGAAACCCAGGGTTTTACCTTTAACCCTGCCACATAGCATTCTCAAGCCACCCTTTGATCTGCCCTAACAACCCAAACTTTCCCATCGTCCGATGGATACTTCAACGTCAGATGTGAAGTAGATACAATGGCCCCAAAGGCATTCAAACATGGTCGGCCCAGCAAAACATTATATGATGTGTTAGTTTCCACCAGCAAGAATCGAACTCTCAACTCCTTGGCGTTATTCTTCGTCCCCAAACACATTCTCATATCAACATAACCTCTCGTATCTACTCTTTCCCCTACAAATCCTAAGATTATTTCATGGAATGGCATGATCATGTCCTCCGAAATGTCCATCTACTGAAAAGTTTTCCAGTACAATATGTTGGCCGAACTTCCTTGGTCAACCAAAACTTTACCCACACTATACCGAGCAATCACCGTCGTTATGACCATCGGATCGTCCTGATTAGGGTCAGGAGCGTGAAAATCCTCGTCCGAAATGGTTATCCTTGGCATTGATCTTTTTGTCACCTCCACACGGTGAACACTATGCAGGCTTCTCAACTGCCGTTTTCTCGCCGATGCCGAGGGTCCCCCGCCAGCAAATCCTCTCGAAATAGTATTAATTACGCCCCGTAAGGGTCGTTCTCTGCTCCTACTTCGGCTTCTCCGATTCTTCTTTGATCGATCATCTTTCCTATGATGATTACTCCTCTTAGATGGACGTCTAGCTCCTCCCGGGGAGCTTCGTCCCTTATCTTGTACATATCTTCTCAAATGCCCTGTCTGTACTAAACTTTCCAATTTATCTTTCAGTGTGATACAGTCTTCTGTGGTGTGTCCCAGGTTCTGATGATATTGACAATGCTTCCGCCCATCAACCCCCTTGGGAGTGGGTGATTGTGCCAAGGTTAGCAGATCGGCCCTTAACGCTTCTTCCATCACCCTCGCCCTTGGTGCATTCAAAGGTGTATAATGAACATACTGAGGCACCCTAGGAAGGTCTCTGTGCCTCTGCTCGCTTGCTCCCTCATTTATCCCCACCATCCATCCTCCATCCTTCCTCCCCCGGTTTGATCTGGCTTGCGGAAGCGCCTCTTCTCTCTGGGCTTGTTGGAAAGTGTAACACCCCTTCTCAGAATGTCCACAGAAATTTTTTCAAAATAATTGTTTACATTTAAAGGCACAACATTTAATATTTTGCCGAAAAATACTCAAGTATTAGAGAGTAATTATGATTACAAACCGAATATTAAAAGTTGTTTTAAAATTACAAACCATAACAAATTAAAAGTCTGCTTAAAATACAATACTTCACGATAATTTTTATTTTCACACTTTAAAATTTCCATGTAATTTTCCCAACACGCTCCTTGTTCTAAACTTCTTCAGCTTCACCTGGAACATCATCTACTCCCGTATAACATACCGTTATACGATCATCGTAGTCACACAATAGGGTGAGCTAACCATAACCATAAAAATATATTTACAGATAGCGTACGACATAAACGTCTAATATATTAATAGCGTATTAATAAGATCGTAACACCTCTCCGAAAGAACTTAATACCATAATTGTAATTGACTAGGCAATTTATTCATAAGTGAATTTAAGTTTGTTTATCCTCTTGTACTATATCTGTAAAGCTAGGTAACCAGAACAAGGAAATTTCTTCGGACCGACTCGAAGTTATTCAGACCTATTGATTTTGTCCTTCACCCGCAGCTAATGGACGTTGGCCTTCACACGCAGCTATTGGACCTAACTTGGTTCTTGTCCTTCACACGCAGCTAACATTGAACATGGTCCTTCACACGCAACTATGGACCGCGGATAAGATTGTCCTCCACACCGCTTTAGACATATTCTTCTCGGTTCTTCAAGGACTTACGAGTAAAAACATTGGTGAGTAACATCCATTCACCAAGCAATACTCAGCACGAGTTAGAATTTTACGGGCTAGATATCTGTATTTTCCCTCAAAGGTAAATGACAGACTCGTATCCACCTATCGCCTTATATAGGAAAAGGAAATTATCCTTTAACTACCGAGATAAAGCATAAAAATATTTTTGATTATACACGATAAGACACTAAAAATTCTTAAAGGCTATCTAATTAAATCCCACAAAATAAATTACATGCCAACTTGCACTTAAATACAGAATCACATTCAAGACACTTGCTGTCAATTCCGGCCTTCGCTTAATGTTTCCCCCGTAACTCTCTCTATACACTCTGAATGAGTTGATTCTTTTTTGTTGGATTCTAGACATAAAAACCTTTCATATGAATGCCTAACTCGTAATTTTTGGACTAAAGGATCAGCTGCAGTAAATAATTTTAATGTAAACATTTTCGTCACGTTTTCTGTATTTTCAGCTATGACCTTTCTTGATTGTTTTGTTTATTATCTCTCCACATAAATTCCAAAAATATGGTCTTTTTGCGTTTAGAAAATAGATCATCAATAGCTTTCTTAGACACTGGAATAAATTTTTGGACCACTGTACTAACTGCAGTGAAATTATGAAATCAGCATTTTCTTGAGCTTCCTGGACAGGTTACATGATTCCTCTATCAAAGTTATGTGACAAAATTACCCAGATTGAAGAAGCATCATTAGAACTCTACTGGGATTTGAGGTAATTTGGTCTTCCCCACAATGTGCCAGTTTATATCCCATTTTCTGATGCATTGGAGGTGATTGGGGAGACGGATGTTGAATATTTCCATCATTCAGCTGTGGTGCATGTAAGTTAGTCAATTTGGTCCTTTCATATTACTTTTATTTTACATTTATATAGTTTTCTAACAACTTAACTTTTTTATTTTAGGTACATGGACACAATCTGTAGACCAAGGTCGGTCTTCCATGTACGGATTTGTTGACCTCAGACATTCAACCATCTGGTAACACACTTCAAACAGACAAGATTATTTGCAAACATGGATGATGAGTCAAAAAGAGACATATACCTTGTGCCATACATTGACGGGTGGTGTTGTTATATGTGGTCATGTTTATTATTATAGTTTCGTAATTAGTTGAATAACTATTGTCCTTCGTGATAGGTCCGTCATGGTCAGCTGATGGTAATCATTCCCAAACAATGTAAAATTATATTTTTTTTGTTCATTGCACAGGATGATGAAACTGAGTTGAGAACCATGCTCAGGGTAAGTGTTTCTCCAAAAATGACTTGAATTTTGATGTTCACCTTCAACTTACGATAAAATAGTCATTTAATTATACTTTGTGTTTTCAATCTGTACAGAGTTATTGGTAAATCTCGTGTCAACTGTTCAAATTTTGTATCCAAAGGTTGTAAGTCATTATAGTTTCCTTTCATTTATGTTATTGAATGATCTAAATTCTTAACTATTTAGTTTGTTATTTAGTGTACCCACCAGCTAGATTCATGGGAATGTGGCTTCTATGTGATTTGTTGATAAGACCATCATTCGAGCAGTCATTACAGCTGACTGGAATGAGTTAATGATGTATAGCCTTAAATACATTAATAATCATATTCATCTTCAACTATATATGAAACAATAATGAATCTTTGTTGAATTTTGCAGCGCTTCAGACTACATCGCCTATTACAGAAACACATTAAACAGATAGGCAGAGTGACCGCTTATCTTCTGCAAGATGGAGTTAGGAATAGTTATATTGTTGTTGAACATTGTTTGTTTTAGTTTAAGTTTTATGTTGATAGTTTGGTAGTGGATTGACTCCACATAAGTAGAACTTGTTTATATAAACACATTTTTATATTATTGCAAAATTGTTCATGGACATTTTTCTGCTTTTCAGTTTGGTTTTATGAAAAATAAACTAATTTTTAAAAAAAAAAACGCCCAGTAGACGTCCGTTGGTGCACGTCGACGTCTATACCGTTGTCAGTGCACACCGGACGTCCACCCCCCATCTCCTACCTAA